GCAAACACGCTTTCCAGCGAGTTCTGAGCAGCAGAACGAGTTAAAATGGTCCCTCTAGCACTGTCAGTAAAGTCATTATTAGTAAATGGTGTATATCTAACATCTTTAATTACAGAGCTCAAACCAGCCTCTACCTGCTGCCGACACAGCAGGTTTCTTTATACCTTCTCTCAAGTTAGCCACTAGGCATGGCTAACCACTGAATGAGGCATCATGCTGATAGGACTCGGTAGAGCAATTTCGAGTCGTAACAGGGCAGCTGTAGATGCAGATCTGGAAATAAACCTCCACCTGTGGATTGCAACTCAAATCTACAACTTCCAGAGCGTTCGTAGTCAGCTGGGTAGCAACAGCAAGAGGAGTCTCACTAGAAATAACAGCTCTCGAGTAAAAGGCAGAGAGAGGACTCACATCAGCAGTACTGACCTTCCTTGACTTCCAGAATTCCAGGTGTCGTAAATGAGATTTTGTTACCCAGCTTTGGTTTAGCAGCAATTTAGGATTTATTAATATTTTTGAGATAGATCACAAGATTAGGTTGTATAATTTTAACAGTACTTAATCATCAGCCAATTTAACAGAGTGATTCAATGGAATTTGTTACAATCAAATTTGTGACTTAGTTGCCAAGATTCAAAAATGGCAAGGATCACCCCACACACAGCAGGGTTGCGCACACATGGAGGTGTTGTGATTTAACCCCAGCCAGCAGCTAAGCACCATGCAGCCGCTCACTCACTTCCCCCCGCACCCAGTGGGATGGGGGAGAGAATCGGGGAAAAAAAGTAAAACTCGTGGGTTGAGATAAAGAGAGTTTAATAGAACAGAAAGGAAGAAAATAATTATAATAATTAATAAAAGACAATAATAATAAAAGAATTGGAACATACAAAACAAGTGATGCACAATGCAATTGCTCACCACTCGCCAACTGATGCCCAGTTAGTTCCCAAGCAGTGATCCCCCCTGGCCAACTCCCCCCAGTTTATATACTGGGCATGATGTCCCATGGTATGGAATACCCCTTTGGCCAGTCTGGGTCAGCTGTCCTGGCTGTGTCCCCTCCCAACTCCTTGTGCCCCTCCAGCCTTCTTGCTGGCTGGGCATGAGAAGCTGAAAACTCCTTGACTTAGTCTAAACACTACTTAGCAACAACTGAAAACATCAGTGTTTTATCAACATTCCTCTCCTACTGAACCCAAAACATAACACTGTACCAGCTACTAGGAAGAAAAGTAACTCTATCCCAGCTGAAACCAGGACAGGAGGTTAAATCAAATCACATACAGACAGATAAAACAGTTTTGAACCACACAGACAGACAAAATAGTTCTGAATCAAACTGCAAATACACACGCACAGATAAAACAGTTCTGAACCAAATTTACACACACACACACCCCCCCCCAGAGAGGTTAACCTATGCTTAAAATTTCCCTTTCGTGAGTTTCATGAATTACTCACTTCTATGTGCTGGCATTCATCACCAGAGGGTCAGCGAACCTTGCGAAATCAGGCCTTTAAATCCTTGCGAAATTGTCAACCGATGATCTTTCAATCCTCACGAAATCTATCCTGAAAGGTGTCCCAGCTCAGGGGGAGACACTGGGTCACACAGCCCACTGCAGTCCTGGAGAGCTCCAAAGGTCTCACCTTGGATCGCTGTTTATAGGGTCTCGAGATGACTGGCTTTGGTCATTATTTTACATTCTGGCCATAATTTGTGCAGAGTCATTCTGATAGAGAACTCAGGCAGCAGACGGCCCAGGTGTGGCCAGAGGATGCCCAGCCACACCAGCCCCAGGCTACTGGACTTGCAACCAAGATAACAGCACAATGAGAGTTCTTCCCAAAGCATGCATGGCTTATCCTGAAATAACAGAGTGGCCCCGGGGGGCTGCACCACCACACCAGAGCAGGACAGTACTTTAAGAATTGTAGTTGCTCTTTCTACTAAAATATTTTTTTTCTGCTAAGATACACAGAAAGTAAAAGTAAAGTCAATAAAAAGATACATGCATCCCATGTTTCCCTTCATGCTTTTCTTGCCTCACTTTGAATGATGTAATAAAATGTCACTAAAGATCAAGGCATGCTAGCAGCAAAGGCCCCAGCCATGATTAGAATCCCTTTCTATTTGGTCTTATACAAAATTTCCTTCTAAAAAGTGTGGAGGCCGAACTGTTCTTAAGCACTGACTTTAACAATAGCCTAAATTATTATGAGTTCTTCAATTATTACTTTGTCACCTGTGGAACATGATATTCCACAGCTTATTGTTCTGGTCCAAGACGAACATACGGGATCCTGTCATATACCCTTGCTGCAACTCAAATCTGGAGTAGTTGGGTCACTGTAAAGTAGGGCATTGTTTTCTCTATAAATACAAAGTACATTATTCCTTGCTTGTTTTTATTATTAAGAAATACCAAATATTTGGTGAATAATTTTCAAAGAAATAGAAAAAGAAATCTCATGGTTAATGACCACTTTCCATCAAATTCCTTTTAATTCTCTAATTTTTGAGCACATCGAAGAAAATAGGTTCCTTATTTTCAAGGAAAGTCACCTCACAATATGTTTTTTATTTCAAACTTTTAAACTGCTTTTTCATTCTCCTTATGTTCCCCACTAGCTCCTTACAAGGCTGCAACACTGAAGATGGCCCTGAATAAAGTCCAGCATCATCTGATCTGCCTTCTTGGGAATACCGAGGTGGAAGCAACCCTTCCTCACTAGACCTTACGGTTTCATGACCAAATTGCAACCATGAAAACCATCAGTCCATAAGCTGTTTGTCGCTACCGGCTAAATAACAACTATAGTATATCATTAGCATAGCATTATGTCAAAGCACCATTTGGCTCTAGCCATACCTTCCATGCTAGACGGTTTGTTCTTGAAGTGTAAATACATTACACTTATATTAATATATTAATTAAAATGTCAGATCTCAAGGGAAAAGTCTCTCCAAGTATAGTAGAAAAAGAAAATAGAATCACAGTTAATCAAGGAACTCGTACAAGTAAACCTCACTACTGTGTTCTCTTGTGGATAACTTTTTTAAAGAACATTATTGCTAATTTAGCTAATTTAGCCCAGACTGTGATCACAAAAATCAAGAGAGTGGGAGGCATTCAAAAGGAAAAAAGAACATGAAGGCATGAAATGACAAAAACATAAAGAAGCAAGTATACAATACATTGTGTATTACAAATTAGAAGCATTTTTTAGATACATGTTTTTAACATCATTGTATGTCATATATAGTCACAAACATTGTTAACTGTTCTTGAAACAGCAATTATGTAGGAGACCAAGCTTGAACTGCGTTCATAAAGCACAGTTTCTTTCTGTAGCGGTTCCCTTCTTCATTAGATCTTTTTCACAGATCTAGCACAGACCGTTGAAAATGTAGCTGACAAAAGAAGTGTTCCCAGAGGGAACAGGACTGATTTTCACTCTCTGAAGGATGTGATTGTGCAGACCCAGCATTAGCTTAAAAAGTCCTAACATGCCTAGAAAAATCGTTCTGGACTAGAAATCATTTATGTCTCTGCTGATTTGTTACTGATTAGTTTAGAAGAGAAATAAAGTAGATACAGCTGAAAAAAATACGATAGAGGAAGACAATTCTCACCATCACAGCTCATTTAACTTCTGAACTACCACCAGCAAAACACTGTAAATCCAGTAACTGCATATGTGAATTCTATTCTTTTATTCTGTAGTAAGTGCAGTGATCATATGGAAGGAAATATACTGATGTAAGAAAAACCTCCCATCCACACATCAGTGTCTCCTCTCATCCAAATTTGATCTTGAAGAGATTTTTCAGGGTACTGCTTTCAAAAAGAGTGGAAGTGTCTTTGCAGAGGTTAACACGTTTGGTATCAGGAGCTTTAATTCCCAGGTGGTGTGTACGGTAACTGTTGTGGTGTACAGGGTGCAAGGCCTCACTAGCACCAGTATTTCAGATTCAGTTGTGGATAAATCTAAGAAACAGGCCATTTCTGTTACTGAATCAAAAGGATCATTTGCCTCCCATCACAACACAGGTGCTCAAGTAGCCTGATTTTAAAATGTTCGTTTCTTTGCCGTCATAATACTTCAAAATGATTGATTTTCAAATGATTTTTACTTTTGTTTATTTGCTACACTAATTCTCTCTTGAAAGTTGTTTAAATCCAACCACCCTTAACTATTTCTCATCATAACGAAGTCTATTTTAACAAGTGCCGGAACCTCAGATGATTTCGCATGATGAAGAGACCGTGCAAGCTCATTTACCGCGCTAATTAAGCCCAGGGTGCACCCAGACAGGCCCTACAGCACGCTGGGTCACATCCTAGGATGGCAAAAGTCCCCGATTCCTGCAAACTCAGACTTAATCCCTCTCCTTCGTTGCCACCCGCCGCCGCCGCCACATGGTAC